TGTCTTCTCCATTCAGAGGGCCCCCTGCCTGTCTTTGCCTAGGGCCCCAAATTTCCTAAATCCACCCCTGGCTTTAGCAAAATCAGTGACACTTCAGCCATGCTATCATATCAGCTATATCACTTCCTCTGGCTGAGGCTCATGGAATAAACAGCGGTAGGGCAACATTCTTCTTCCAATGGATTGTAGCAGCTGAAATATTTCCATATTTTCATCCGCAATAAGTTCCATAGCGCAGCACAGCTCACAACCTGAGCATTCTCTCTGATGTATGTGCAGGAACAGCATTTAGGAAAACTGATGGTTTTGAAACCGTGACTTTTTTCATACCAGGGTTTAACCTGAAACAAGAAGCCGGGCTAGGCCTAGTCTAGCTACACTGCTCTGTGGGAAAGTACTTATATATTACCTGTAGGACCTGTATGTCACAGCCGTTCTCTCAACCTCACCTCTTTCTGAGGCTGCCCAACAAGACTTTATTTCTTTAGTTTTTATAAAGCTGAAGGGAAACAGGTCTGATGATGCCATGGCAGTGTGGGAGAAGGAAGCCCAACTCTCACCTGTTGGATCCCATACGTCCAGCCCTGGCGGATTCGGTCTCTTGCCCAGACATTGTGGGCATTTTCAGCCAGCTTGTCCACCATCGCCTCCTGTGTGGGAGTCAGCTTGATGTGACTCAGGTCCAGAGGAGCAGGTTTGTAGCCACCGGTCAACTCATAACTGCACATATTAGGTTGGAGAACAAAGCTGTTAGGAAACCCAAATAGATCTGAGGTATTTCTTTAAATATTCATTAATTTATTATTAATTTGAATCCGCAGATCATTGGATTCGATTCTAGAATTGCGCTGCTAAAAAAGTTGCAGGTTAGTTTTCTCTACAGGCTCGATTTAAATATTCTCTTATAAAAGAACTGCAGTTCCTCCGTTTATGAATCAAAATCTTCTTTTTCTCATATTTTCACCTCTAGTGTTGGATACTGAGCAGCTGGGTTCATTTTTGCCAATATCTTTTTATTTTTGGACGTTTGTTATGATGTGTAACCATAGCAACCGTATCAGGTTAGTTTTTTTGTTACTGTGAGCAGCTCATTAACATCCAACTGGAACTTAAGCTGGAGTTCAACTTGAGTGAAAAAGGGGATGCTGAGAATGGAGAGTAAGGGGCAAGGAGAAGATAGAGGAGGAGGAAATCCAAGCCATCTCTTCCATTAATCATTATGGGCAATATGAGATCTTTAGGAAACAAGCCAGAAGAACTTCAAGCCCAAGCGAGGACATAACCAGAATGTGGGGAATGCAGCATTATGTCTAATGAAACATGGCTGCGAGATCATATCCCTGACATCAGTGTCTCTCTACCAGGATTTCTGACCATAAAAGCGTACAGAAATTTACTGTAAAGATGGCTGAAAAACTCAATGGAGGAACTCCTCTAGAGCTTCTGGAGATGATTTCACAAAGAGCAATTCTTTATTAAGTGAAGAAAATTATGGAAAAAAAGGAAAGCATCCCCTTTGGAAGACAATAAGTGAGTGTCTTCAATCAACGGCTTCTCCAAATCCAGTCCAAGACAGACCGTTACAGAAGACGCTTCCTGCCTACAGCTATCAACAACAACTTTGTAAAATAAAATAAAAAAACTTATGGATGACTAAAACATTACATTTTCCTTTAAGATCAATAAGGTAGTCTTGAGTTGAATCAATTCTATAGTTCTGGATCTACTGGTACGACTTACGTTGGAGACAGCTTCATGCTCTTTACTTTTTCAACAGCATGTTCATCTGCTAGTCCAACATGGCAGCCCAGTGCAAGCAGAGTCCTGAAAACATAGAACTACAATTAATAGAACTTTTCAGGTAGATCAGAAACCTTAAATTAGTTTGGTGTGGATTAACACAAGCAACCATTTCTCTTGACAATTCATGACAATAGTAAGAAGAAGAAGAAAGGAATGTGAGTTTTAATCTTTGAATTAACCACCTACATTTGTAAATAAACATGTCTGTTATTACAGCAATAATTCAAGTTTAAGAACATGTAGCACTAGAACTAAAGGCTTCATGAGTTTATCCTGCAACCCAATATTGTATGGGGTGCCGTTTGTGAAGTAAAGCAGTCAAAAATTAGGAGCAATATTTATGATTATTTAGCGTGTTTTAAGAGAAAAATAAGGAGTTTATTTTTTTCCCAATTCATTTTTTCCCTGCCATTTAAAAAATCTTACTTTGCTAAATAAATATTTTGTTTGTTGAAAACATTTTTAGCTCCACCAAGCACCAAGCTAGCTAAATAAGCAGAAGTAAACTACCAAATTGAAAGCCTTGGAATATCTATACGACTCCTACAGCATCTTTTTCACATTTATGAAAATTAATTCCAAAATGGAAGGTCCTCTTTGAAATACTTTTATTTGACTGTATACGTTTGTTTTAGGAAATGGGCAAATGTTTAATGTTATGTTAACCTGCGTTGGAAAGCTTCAGTCACACATGGGGCGTCACTGTGTTACCATAGCAACGACTGCTCCAGCAAAGTTTGCTTCAAGATTTTGGCATTTGACCAATTAGATGGCAGACGCTTGAATGATATATTACCTTCTGCAAATTAACTTGAAAAAAAAGTTAACAAGTCAAGAAAAAAAGTAAAAAGCTAATTGAAAACTTAAAAACTAAAGTTAAAAGGTGAATAAGCCTAGTTAACAATTCTATTTAGGTTCATAAACTAAAAATTGTCAGTGCCAGTATCAGCATTAATGCCTCTAAGGTTATGTTGGACAAAAAAAAATGTGTTTCTTTCACTCTGCGTGTTTTTCATGAATTTCTTCTTAAAGCATTTTTGTTATTTTTCTTAATATATTCGGGGAAGTTGGCGTTTCTTTTTATTTTTACCATCAAAATATCCATATTTTTTTTAATGTTACAAAGGTAATAAAGTCTGGATTCCAATAACACTATTGGCTTCAAATTTGGATTTTTAAAGTATTTCAATGAGTTCCATATCAAGGATTAACAAACTAAATATTTAATTTGGAGCTTAATATTTATTTAATAAACTAAATATGTAGTTTGGAGCTAAATACTTAACAAGCTAAATATTTAATTTACAAACTAAATATTTAGCTACAAACTGAATATGTATTTAACAAAGTAAGATTTTTATAAATGAATGAATGACGTAGTGAAAAAAGGATTTGGGAAAAAAAATAACCCCCTTATTTTTCTCCTAAAAAACGCTAAATAACCATAAATATTGCTCCTAATTTTTGACTGCTGAATTTTTTTTGACAAACGGCGCCCAGGTGGTAAGGAAGCACTTGAACCTTCAGTGCACTCAGGTAGAAAAATCCCAGCAATGAGCGACACCCTAGTGTTTCTACAAGAACAGTTTATCCAAAAAGCTGTAGAGACGCCTCTACCAGGAGTGACAATAAAGATGAAGGCTGCAGCATAAACACACACATGCAATATTTTCACATGATGTACTTGTTTTTCTGTTTATGCACTACGCCTGCCAGAACCTGGTATCACTCAAAGATATTTGATCTAAAGCAGCATCTTCAGCTGCTTCACTACATTTCTGCTTTACTTCAGAGTTTCTAAAGACATCTGCAGGTTGTAGCTCCGCTCCTGTTCAGGAAGCTTCGAAAACTCCACCAGGCAGGGGTGCTGTCGCTTGTTATCGTCTCTCACCTGCAACACACACACCCAACACATGACATCAGTTTATCATCAGATCAAAAACAGCCTTGCTATGCATATAAGCCTGTAATATATTGGAGCCAAATGTTGAACAGAATGTTACTGGGTCTGATATCTTCAGGGCTGCAAACGTTTCACCAAACCTGGGAGTGAGATTTGGAACTAGTGTGGAACGGCCACCCCTGTCAGGGTGAGATAGAAACGCTCTGAGGTGCAGCTCTAGGTTGGAGGTTTTCAGAGGATTTCACTGAAACTAAGCAGCAAAATGGGTAATTTTTACAGCACAGTAAATGTTACTGAAAAACAAAAACTGATCTGTAGTTATTTGGAACATTTTCACACAATATATGTTATTTTCTACATTCTGGTGATTTTCAGAGAGTAGAAATAAAGAAGAACGGCTTCTACTAAAATACTTGCATCTTAAATATACTTTAAACTAAGAATTTCACAACTTTAATTAATTATTCTCTGCAGTTAAAGTAAATTAAACAATGAGGAGCTAATAAGTTATTACTGGATTACTGGCACTGATACAGGAACCAGTGCAATGGAAACCTGTGCAAACTACTCTGTGTAGGAATATTTGGTAAAAGGCTAAGGATTAAAAATCTTAACTCATTATTCTATTATTCAAAAATTTTTTTTTTTTTCAAATGACGAAACAGCTAAACAATTCAGAGCTTCTAGGAGGCTGTAGATTCTATAAAAAATCTCCTTGACCAGACAGCATTTCTCTGGATGTTTCATTTTGGAAAATGTGATGGAAATTAAGTTTTTAAACATATTCAATGGACCAAAATAAGGATAAATGAATAAGATAATTAATGATAAAATGAGAACATCCCTGTGGTTCCTCTGAGTTATTCTGCACATCCTCTCTGGATGTGGTTGGTCTTTTCTTGGGTGGCTGATCTTTTAAAAATAAAATGCATTGATTCTTTTCTTTATCGTCGACCTCCTGCGGCTTTGAGAGGCAAAAACCTGCAAGCTTTAAGAATTTAGAGATTTGAGTTGCTTAAATTAGTCCTATAATCCAATGTGGGATTATTTAACTAGACTGAGCAATAATTATTTAACTGGTGAGCAAAACATGGACTAAATAATTATGGGTAATTGGAGTCTTTATAAAATGAATCAGAAGAAGCTCCAGCTCCATCAAGAAAGATGGAAGATGCAATTTTATTTTTTAATCTTTGCTGTCAATTAATTTCAATAAAAGGGGACAACGTATGCCTAGAATGGACAACCATTTGACATTTGTGGATCAAACGTACGGTGGGAAAAGCAAAATTCTTAATATGGTCATTATCACAAAAACATATATAAAGAACTTTTATGATACCAGGTGTCATCATTTCACTGGTTTCATTGTTTTGTTGAATAAACAAAACAAAAAAAGAACTGATGTCCATGAAACTGGTAATGACTGAAAAATTATTTGTCAGAACGGCGAATGTACAATGTATGGCAACAGGTAAAGACCATATGGCAGGTTATTAAAGGAAAAGTCTGGTCATATTCGTGGGATACACCATGGACTCCTGGAAGGCTTGGAGGATGGTGTGTTTAACAATCCTGTCACTGGAGGATACCGAAGATGTGTGGAAATTTGGTTTTTATACTTGGATTTCTCCTGTTTAGATTTGGAGGATACCTGATGTATCTACAATTACAGAGAATGTTGGCGGCAATTTGGGCATTGATCAGGCTGCCGGCAGCGATTGACGCCCTAACAAAGGCTGTGAGCGAGCAAGATTGGGAGCTGACCTGCATGCTGGGTGTGATTGAACGCAGACTGGCTGCAGTGGTTGAACTCAAAGGTGAGATGGGATAACATCTTGGATGGGCACGCTCGCTTTAAGGCGGAAAAGCCCAACACATTTGGAATATTGGATTCACCTTGAAAGAGCCAGCAAGAACAAGACTCAAGGCTGCAGGAAATTCCTGTGCAGCCTGCTCTCAAAACAATAACGGTTGTTCTGGAATCGACTTCTGCCCTCTATCTAATCTCCCCTGGATGTTATGGCGAAAGGGCACAGAAGAACTGCTCCCCCCCTCCCCTACCCGTGAAACATCTGTGGATGCCCTCAGTGACTGTAGATAAACTTCCATCTCATCAAGGACAATGGCCTGTGGTCAGCGTTCACGGACATATTGAACGCACTCATCATACACACACAACTAATGTCTCAATATCTCAGATTGACTTCATGTGACTCCGCCTCCGATGTGACCCTCTGCTGAAATGTCTCTCGTGTTACATGTGCTTTTCTTGTGCAGAGGTTTTTTTTATATCACAAACTGTATCCTGTCAAGGATGAAGTTTTGAATTTTGGTTTTTTTACCCTCTCTTCCCCTATGTGGCTCCTATCTTTCCACAGAGATAAAGGCAGCGCTATAGGGAACCGCCTGGGACCTGGGCAACCAGGTAACTGGTGGGAACCTGGCAAGCCATAAGAACGCGTCAATGGCACTTTAATCAATCAATAAAGATTGGTTGATTAAATTGTTGGTTCCTGATTTACCAAAGCAGAAAGTGTCAGAAGAACACAGAGGTTACTGCTTTCATTCTGGACAGTTAAGTTTTTTAGTTGCTAATGCTAAGACCTGGCAATAGGCTGAAAAACAGCAATGACTAATAGAGGGCAAGAGCAAGTCTGCCACCTACTGGCATATTTAGAATTCAAATTTCTGAAAGTACTTTAAATATGAAATAATTGCATACTGTTGAATAAATCATGTGTTTTTAATTCAGAGTTATTTTCATTTGAATGTGCTTTATTGGAGGCATCCATGTTTTTCAAAGAACACTACTGCCACCTACTGGTTTGTGACGTCATGGTGCGGTATCGGCTGTTGATCAAGTCCCAGTGCTGTATCTGGTGTTTGCCACAACGCGCTATTATCCAAGTCATCTTGAAAACATTCTTCTTCCAAATGTTGCCAGACTCCCAGACTCATTGATCGTGATGAAAATTAGTGTTTTTACCGATTAATGCTAAATTCATTCAATCACAGCAAACGTAGTAGTTTTAGGTATAAATAATGATCCATTGGTTATTCCTTGATGACCGGAGTTTTCCTTTAATGAGAAAAACAAATGGCTCAGTACTTACTGCACCGTACGTCCAGCCCAGTTCGATTTTATTCATCACCCACAATTCATGAATGTTTTCTGCAAGTTTCTCCCTTATTCTATCCAAGTGAGATGGCAGAACAACCTGAACACACATAGAAGACAGAGTTCTGTACCGGAACCTCTCCGATAATTTACCCTTCAAGTTTAGCTTTAAAACGTTTCTCTATTGTTACCTGGCTGGTGTCCACAGGTGTGGGAGTAAATGCTGCCTGGCTCAAAGTGATGGTAGGTCCCAGCAGGTCTTTGGCTACAGTCTGGTCTTGGCTGGCCTCCAGCTTGAGCTTCTCCCTGGGCAACACTGCCTCGTAGCAAGGAGCATAGCCTGAAGGAGGCAGGAATTTGAACTCTCCATGACGGCCCCCGAGGAGGAAACGCACCCTGCAGTGTCACGAAAGGAGAAACAATTACACACTAGAAAAAGAAATCACAAAGATCAACATGTTATTTATAATATTAAAACCCCAGCTCTAACTTTCTATAACATTCCAGAACACCAAATAGGATTTTTGGCTAAGTCCAAGTCTACTGCAGTGACAAGACTTTTCAGTAAAACACTAACTTGACCCCTGCAGAAAAACTGGCCACGGGGAAAAAAAGGCCCTCGGAGTTGAAGTTCTCAAACATTCCCTGAACTGGCTGGCCGTTGATCCTGAAGGAGATGCTGGGGACGCTCAGGTCCAGGCAGCAGCTCACCACGTCTTCTGAACGCAGAAGGTGCTGGTTGGGAGATGTAACGGTCCGAGCAATGCAGCCTGCACAGGGTTGGAGGAGAGACAAAGATCTCTGCATGTTATTTCAGTTTACCATCTAAAGGCTTCAGAGCAGCACTGTCTGGCTCATCAACAGGATCCTTCTGTAATTAGTTGGCTGAAAACTAACCAGATGTGCCCTCCTATGGGCATTACTTTGAGTTCTTGTTAGGTTGTCCTGTCTTTATTAAAACCTCTTTGATGTTTTTATTATCATTAGTGGTGAGCCGTTATCAGCCTTAACATGCTGCAACCTGTGGTTGTTGGGCTTCTCTTGTTACCCTGCAATGCCCCATACCTGCTTATGTCTCTGGGGTATTACAGGCTAACAACAGACGCCAAACGACCCCCATTCCAAAGGGTTGGGTCCGTTTGTCCATTTTAACTTGCATGTATTCTAAACAAAAACAAGGATTTGTTGGGCTACTGTTTAAAGTCGTATGGAAGCGGCCATTCCAACCGTTGCATTTCCGAATTCTCCTGAGTGGTGCGCAACTTTACACAAGTGAATAAGGTGAATGTGATTGGTCGTTTATTAAGGGGGTGGGATTGGTGTGGTGGAAGGTTCACAAGTAAGTTTGATTGTAGGCGATTTGTCAGAAGCATCTTGCTAACCAGTTAGCAAGATGCTTTGATTAAAGTAGCACTAAATTGGTGACTTAGAAACAACACTGTCAAGGAACGCTATGGACAGAGGAAACATGCAAGAGGAGGAGAGTTTTTTGTTGGAGGTCGTGGATGAGTCTCCTCCGTCATCCATTTTTTATTTAGAGGAGGAAAGCGGGGATGAAGATGTTGTGGAAGAGGACGCCAGGGCGGCAGAA